GCAAGTAACATATATAGTATATCCAAGTAGAAATCACTTAAAAAGGTGTTAAACTGCAGTTGCCCCCAATAGTATAATAATGATATATTTCTTCAATACATATGTAGTTTTATTTTATGTGCACAAGTTAGTGCCCATAATTTGGCTCAATAGCTTTCCATTTTTTCACTCTGTTAAATTAGAGAAAACATAAGCTTTATTGAATCTTTGAATCTCCTGAAATTTACTCTTCTTAAAAAAATGATTAACTAAAATTAATCCTTTAAAACAAAACAAAGCATATAATCATTTGTTTTCCTGAACAGCTTTATATCAATTTTAATACAATTCTCAAAATAAGTGAACATGTTTTCAGAACAGAATACTAAAATTCAGTGGTGTCTCTGCAATCTATCTGGGTGATGTTGAGAAGATAGGGGACAAATCAGGAAAAACATAGGTAAACAGAAACCATTCCAAGTACTAAAGAGACGTTAATATTTTTAAAACACTCTTTGATTTGCATTTCCCAGATGCTGAGTGATGTTGAGCATTTTTTCATGTGTGTGTTGGCCATTCGTATATCTTCCTTTGAAAAATGCCTATTCAGCTCCTTTGCCCATTTTTTAATTGGGTTATTTGTTTTTATGATGTAAAGTTGTTTGAGTTCCTTGTATATTCTGGATATTAATTCTTTGTTAAGACAAGTGAACAGATATGATGTGGGGGTGGAAAGGAACGGGTAAAGGGTCATGAAAATCAACTACAATGTCTATTGAGAAGTTAAAATAAAAAAACCCAAAATGCCTGAAAAAAAAATCACTCTTTAACAGCATTGTAGGAAATTTGAGAACTGAAACATAACATTATAGAACAGGCAGAGGGCTTTGACAACATCTAATCCATCCCATAAATAGAGGCAACTGAGTCCTAGGAAACTTTGCCACTAGCTTGTGTTATTTATCAGAAAGAGAACAGAAGAAAACCCAGGTATCCTGATTTACCAATGCATTGTCCATGCTCCGCTGTACTGTAAAATGCATTTCTCCTATGTAATCCACTATATTTCCAACAAATTTCCTCCACTACTGCAGAAGTGTTCACTTATGGTGATTGTTCATTGCTGTGCTGCAGTCTCTTGACTATTCAATCCTGAAAGGCTTAAGTGCTCTTCAAATTAATTTTGTGCCCTGATCATGTGGTGAACATCTGTGAACTACAATGCCTTCAGCTTCATGAATCCTAGAATCTTGGTACAGTTAAAGGCC